GGAACTACTTATTTCCTCCATCTTTTTGGTACTTGGTATTTTCCACAAGGTTTGGTAACAGTGTTCCAAAGTCAAAATGAAAAAAACAAAAAACCACAAACACAAAAAAGCACAAGCAAACAAAAAAACTGCATTGATAGAGGTTAGAGCTGTAATCAAATTTGGAGGGAATAAACCCCCTTTCCCTTGTACTGAAAGTCTTTTCATATTCATGGCTGAGTTCAATCTCCTATTTTTGGGGAGGGGGGGTGGAACATAAAGCTCTGCAATGTCATGTGCATACAAAAGACTGCTAAAATTCAGTTAAAACAGTTAAGTTGGAACTCTAAGGAAAAATATATTCTATTCCCATTATTCTGCATGCTGAATGACTTTAAGAAGGTCAATGACAAGTGAAAGGGTTTCTGAGCTCAGTGACCCAGACATCTGGAAATTATATATGAAGAACTAGAAACTACAGATGGGGAGCCAAAAAAGAAAAAAAGAAAAAAAAAAAAGAAGAAGAAGAAGAAAAAAAAAGCCTTGAGGTGGGAAGTGGTCATCGTAACTTCTTCAGATTTAGCTCTGGGCTTTGCCAGAGCAGATAATCAGTATATGCTTCTTGAATGCATGAAATAAATGAATAAATGAAGCAATGAAGCAATGAATGACCAACAAACTCCTGGTGGAGAAGCAGGAATGTGGAAATAGGGAAGAGTTATGCCATGTTACTCACTCATAGAGCAATTAATGACAGAAAACAGGATTTACTTATTTTTGCATTCCTGGTACTCGATACCATGCCTGGTACATAGTTGGTGCTCAATTAATAACTAATGGTTGACTCAAGCAATGATCATTATATTTAAAGCAATCTACTAGTAGGACAGTTTGCCTGATAAATAGTGTGCATCCATTTCCTCACCACTTGTCTATGGGGGGCCAGCAGTCCAGCAATGGAGGAAGCCTGGGGCTGGATGATCACCAGCAGGGATGTTGCAAAATCTTAGTCCCTCAGTGCCGAAATGATCCCTTCCAACATCTAAACATCAGGACCCTGTGCTGTACGTTTAAGCAAGTGAACCTGTTAAAGCCTGTTGGAAGGCCACAATATTTGTCAGCCTTGTATTAAGAACCTAAAATTAAGCCGAAACCGGTTTGACTCAGTGGATAGAGCGTCAGCCTGTGGACTGAGGGGTCCCAGATTTGATTCCAGTCAAGGGCATGTAACTTGATTGCGGGCACATCCCCAGTAAGAGGTGAGCAGGAGGCAGCTGATCGGTGTTTCTCTCTCATCGATGTCTCTAATTCTCTATCTATTTCCCTTCATCTCTGTAAAAAACCATATACATATATATTTTTTTAAAGACCCTAAAATTATTATTAGGACACCCTAGAGGTGACAGTGCCTCAGGGAGAGGGAAGCGTTCCCAGTCTGAGAAGCATAAACTGTAAATAGCATAATTAATAGCTCACCCTCCCTTCTGGCCAGTCTCTTCTCAGGGTTCTGGTGACCTGTGTTTACAGAATACTCTCTAGTGGTGGTCCGTGAGGCCCGAAAGGTTGTCATCTGCTGCTCTGGTCAGTCTGCTGCACTGCCTCAGTCTCCTCTCACACCTGACAGTGAAACACACAGCACACCACAACACTTCCACATGCATACACACGGGTGTGTTGGCATGTCCTATAGGCACTATCTTTCCAACATTAGTCCCTATGAATTAGCGGGCTGACGTTGAAGGTTTGAAATCCTGTGCTATAAAAGATCAGGAGGAAGGGCTTCAGCCTTAGACACATCCCAGTTTGATTCCCAACCCTGCCATGGCTATGCTCAGACACCTTGGGCATGTTGCTTGCCCCTCTGTGCTTGTCCCCTCATTTAGGAGATGGCGAGACCATACAAGACAGTGTCTGGCATCCAATCGACACTCAATAAATGACAATTTTTTAAATAGATGTTATTGATTATTTACAGAGAGGAGGAGAGAGTTAGAATCATTGATGAGAGAGAGAAACATCAATCAGCTGCCTCCTGCACACCCCCCATTGGGGATGTGCCCACAACCAGGGTGCATGCACTTGACTGGAATCAAACCCAGGACCCTGAGTCCTCAGGCCAATGCTCTATCCATTGAGTCAAACTGGTCAGAGAAATAAATGACAATTTTTTTTTAAGTCTCCTGTGAGGAACATCCAACTCTCTGGGATCGCAAGGCAGACCTGGTGGCTCCTGGCCTCGTGGCTAAGCTGGTGTAGAAGACAGTCACAGGACATGTCTAGAAAGGAATTTCCCTGATGTCCACAAGCCTGATGTTTGGCTGTTGAATATGTGGGTTAGGGTATGCAATTAGAGAAACAGCAGAAACTAAAATCCTTTAATACTGGGCTAAAAAAATGGGGACTTCTTTCTCAAAATAGGGCCCAGGCCTGAGGAAACCCAGTTGCCTGAAGTTGCTGGCCAGCAACAGCACGGGGACCTCCATCCCAGCACCAGGTGCCAACACTCAAGCCCCCACAACGCTGCCATAGCTCAGGCAGCAGCTTCCTGGCAAAAGGACAGAGCTCATCCATGTCCCTACAGACTCGGTGACTTCCAAGGAGCTCATCTCTCGCCCTGTGCTGCCTGCCTTCTCCGCAGGGCCACCAACATCAGCATCAACGTTAGTGATGTTGCTAAGGGAACCTGTGGCCTCCTGCCATCTCTGTCCATCTCCACATGGAAGGAAAGGAGGAGTGAGACAGCAGCCCAGGGGGCATGGCTCCGTGGTTGAGCATCGACCTGTGAATCGGAAGGTCAAGGTCTGATCCCTCCTCAGGGCACATACCCGGGTTGTGGGCTCCATCCCAGTGGGGGGCCTGCAAGAGGAAACTGATCAATGATTCTCTCCCATCATTGGTGTTTCTATCTCTCTCGCCTTCTCCCTTCCTCTCTGAAAACAGCAAAAATATATTATATGTAAACTAAACAAAAAGTGAGACAGCACCTCAGTACAGGGGGAAACAGACACACACAGGGAACCAGAGAGGAAAAAAAAAAAAAAAAAAAAAAAAACCATGCAGGCAAGAAATGGAGGAAAGCAGCCACAGGAAGAAAGACAAAAAGATATTCTGGGGGAAAAATAAACAAACAGGCCAAAAGACAAAGAGGAAGATTTTTACAAGCAAACTAAAAAAAAAAAAAGTGTGAAACAGAAAGGCAGATGACAAAAGAAAAACGAAATAATGGAAAAGCTATGAGGATGAGACAGTCCCTGATTCCTAGCTGTTTGCCGTTCCTGCAGAAGGAGCAGTGTCCAGCAGGGCAAGATAGGGCAGGACAGGGCAGGTCAGGGCAGGACTAGAGACGGGAACTGGGCCTCTCAACTCTTCTCCCCACTCCTGAGTCTGGTCTACAGCCTGATTTCCAGCAGGGAAACTCGTGACACCGCGGGGGGCCTGCGGAGAAAGAGGCTGCAGAAGCTGTTACAGATTGCAGCTGCCCTGCCCTCTGGTACCCAGTGCCACCTCAGGTGTTCCCAGTCCTGACCCCCTCAAGGTTTGAGCTGCCAATCAACGCCTACCCATCACAGACTCCAGTGTCTTATCACTCAGAGCCCCCCGGTACCCCCTTGCCTCGTGCTCCACCCAGCACAGACACATTTGAGGGCATTCTCGTGCCCTTTGGGGCTCAGTGCCACTTTGGCATTCCAGAGAACTCAGGGGACACAGCAGAAACCCAGGCCCCTGGCCTGGCCTGGCCTCCTGGGACTCCCACCTGCTTCTGTCTTGTGCCTCCCCTCCCCTCAGGGGCTAGGAGAGGGCTGAGCCTGGCACGCTCTCCCTCCCTGAACCACATCTGCCTTCAAGCTCCCAAGTGACACAGGAAAGGCACCAGAAATGCTCGGAGATGACCCAACACAGTCCCAGGTCATTTGTGAGGGGCTCGGACCTGGACCACCCCCTTCCCATCTCTCACCCCAAAGAGTGAAGCTTTCTTACATCATGTCCTTGCAGCTAAAATGAGCAGGAGCCAAGCTCCTGTGTATTCTGTGTATTCTCATTCCTAAACACAGGCTCCTGTAGTAAACCAGCAGGGATGCTCTGGGAGGAAAAGGGGGGAGAGGGGGGACTTCACCCTGAAGAAACCACCAGCCTCAGAAAACCTCCAGGCTGCCAGGCCATGGGCAGCCCAGCACATTAGGGGGGGAGGGGGGGAGAAACACACGCACAAAAGTCTTAATGGGCAGGCATTCTGGGCTGAAACCCCAGTGTTTGGGGCCCAGACAGAGAGCAGGCAAAAGGGCAGGGAAGCCTGCACATAGCCAGGTGGGGTCCAAAGGAGATGAGGCACAGAGCTAAGGCATCTGCTGGCTCTCTGGCCTGCAAGCTGGGCCCAGAGTGACTCCTTGCTGTGCCACACCTACTGGCTGTCATGTTCACTCTCCCCGAAATGTAAGATTTTTCCCTTAAAAATACAGGTTTGGGATGTGAGGCCCCATCTGGCCAGCCAGCCTGGCTCAGGGGCTCATGAAGGACAGCCTAAATCACCCAGGGCTCCTGGGGCTGCTTCTGAGGCAGAAATACAGAGCATCTTTGAGCTCTCCTGCTCTGTCTGGGAGAAGGTGGGCAAAATGCTCAAAATAGGGCAAAAGCAAGGGTCAGGACCCACAGGGGTCTCATTCCCTGTTTCTCTGGACTCTCTGTGGAGTGCCTGTGTGCAGGATTTCTGCAGAAGATAGTCCATTTTGTTAAGCCTTTGAATATTCAAATTGAAAGTACCGCGCAATCATTGATTGTCAAATCATGGGTTTCTAGAGGTTTTAAATACTTGGCATGAGGGGGAAAAAACTCAAACCTATACCCGAAGGTATAAAACATTAATTCTGTTTGTCTTCTGCTCCAGGAACCTGGATGCAGCTGGATGCTTTGTGAAACTTTAAAAATGTTGCATCTCTGCTTCTCTCCTTGCACAGGAGCCCTCCTAGGCGCAGAGGCCCTGCAGCTGCTGCATCCAGCCACAGACCCAGCTCCTGCTGACCAGCATGTCGGGTAACTCAGCTGCTTCTCCCGGGGTAGGGTCACGCGGGCCAGGGGCGTTTTGGTCTGGGTGTATTTCCACGGCTTTTCCTGCACAGAACAGAGAGGCACAAAGTCAGCGCATTTACAAGGGTGTGCCGGCCCGGGGATCCGGAGAGGGCAGGGGCCACGCTGTGGCCGCTCCCACTCGGGGAGCCTGCTCCCCAGAGCAGAGAGAGGCCCAGATGCCCAGGGAGCTGCTGCGGGCGTCCGCGTACCCCGGCCCGGCCCCCCGGCCCGCCCTTCCACGTCGCCGCAGTGGTAACCCGGGGACTTCGCGGCCCGGATTCCGCGCGCCCCAACGCGGCGGCGGGGGGAGCTAGAGGCTCGCGGTGAGCCCAGGACGCGGGCTGGGCGTGCGCGGGGCTCACGGAGCTGAACTGCGGGAGTCCCAGCGGGGACCCCGAGCCGTGCCCACAGCCCGCGGACCGCAGATTCCCGAGGAAACCGCGGGAGAGGCTGGGCACAGGGAGGACGCGGCCCCCAGCCCTGCGGGCGGGGCGCGGAATCCCCTGGGTCTGGGCGGCACACGGCGCAGCCTCCTTTCCGGGGGAGACCCCCCAGCTCCCTGGCCCCGGCCCGGGGGTCTCCCTGCGGTCCAGGTGCGGTGATCGCAATGACCAGGCGAGGCGCTGGCGGCCTGGCACTGTCGCCAGGCGCCGGGGCTGGCCGCGCTGCAGCCCCAAAGCGCGGAGCCCGGCCCCACCCCGGCGGCGGCTCCCGGGCCGGCGCTTGCTCCCAAGGGGAGGTCGGAGCCGGAGTCGCGCCGGGCTCCTGCGGCCACACTCCCGACCGGGAACGTCCGCCCAGCCCGGCCTGCCCCGCCTGCTCGGCCCGACCTACTCACTGCGGCTCGGCGGGGCTGGGGCGGGGGCCGCGGCTGCCCGCTCCCCCCGGCGCGCTCGGCTGGCCCCGCCACTCGGGGCTGTGCGCCTTGCCCGCCGCCCCAAGACGGCCCCTTCCGGAGCGCGATCCCCGCGACCCCCACGAGAGATCCCCCTGATCCCCGTGCGCGATCCCTATGCGCGATCCCCGGGATCCCCGCACCGCTTTCCTCCCGGAACTCGCGCTGCGCCGACTCCTCTCGGAGCCTCGGCGCACGGAGAAGAGCCGGCCCCAGAAAGGGAGGGGGTGGGGAGCGCCGGGAGGAAGGGGAGCGCAGGAGCGGGACTCGGGGAGGGAGGAGGAGAAGATGGAGAGCGGGAAAGGCGGAGGAAGGGGGCGAGGGAGGGGAGGCATCAGAAAATGATCGGTGGAAGGGAGGGACAGAGTTCCCAGGGCCGGAGCCTTTTCCTGGGGTGAGACTGGCAGGTCGCTGGCTGGCCCAAGGACAAGGCTAGTCACAGCCGGCCCCGCTGGCTTCTAGACCAAGGGCGCGTAGAGGTCGGTGCCTCCCCAGAAGCCACCCCTGGCCTGGAGGAGAAGGAAGGGATTCAGATATACCCCCGTGGGAGCATCATGGTGGGGTGGGCTAGGTCGCCGCCACGGGTCTCAGAGCATCCCTGACCAGGGCCAGATCCCTTTCTGGTCCATAATACCCTCTCCCAGGCCAGCGGCCTGGGCTAGGTATCCCCCAATTTAGCCAAGCTGGTGAGCTCCGCTGGTCTAGTCTCCACATTCCTGAACAGAAAATCCCGGTTGCTATTGGTCTAGGGATAGGACCCAATCTGAGGTGGGTGGCCGCACAGATTTCCTTCCCTATGTTCCTGCCTCTCTTCCTTCACCCCTTGGAGCTTGAGGACTTTTGAGTTTTTCCCACTTGTCTTTTAGCATTCTCTTTGTGTTCTCCAAACCTAAAAACCTGGCCTCAGATGCCATGGTCTATAAGGAGGACCTCTGAGACCCTAGCCTGACACCCACCCTCACACTTGACCCTGGCTCGGTTGTCTTTCCCCAGAGAAACCAAAGGTGTATCAAGGAGTCCGGGTGAAGATCACGGTGAAGGAGCTGCTGCAGCAGAGAAGGGCTCACCAGGCAGCCTCAGGGGCAACTGTAAGCATAAACCCTTCACTGACTCCCAACTCCTGTCAGACCTCATTCAACCTGCACCTGGGAAAGGCTAGAGGCCACCCCCTAACCCAGGCACCACCCCCAGACCGGCCTTCCTCAGCTGGTCTCATGAGTTTGGTGCCCAACTTCATCCCAGTTCACCACAGGAAGCCACAAAGAACAGCTGTGGTATGTTGTGGGGCTCAGGACTAGGGGAACCCATCCCACACTGATCCTAACTGAATAGGAAGGACTTGCTGATCCCCTGGTGGGAGAGGAGTCGCCAGCAGGTAAGTAGGTTGTTATTCTGTTAGGAAGACGGTGAATGTGCCCTCCATATGCAAAGAACATCTCTCCCAGAAGTGTAGGAAGCCCTTTAAGGATAGAATCTCTGAGGGACAGACCTCCTTCCTCCTCATTCTTCTGGATTCCAGCCTCTGAGCTCATTTATCTGTAAATCAACAGTCACTAAAAGTTTCCAACACAAAGCGGCCATGTCTCCTCAGAGGAGACAGCTTGGAATGTGGAAGCACCTCCTGAAGACATAATGAAGCCTTATGCAGTTCCAGATTATCGCGAGATTAATCTGGACAGTCCGAGTCCCCTGCCACTTAGATACATTCTTAAGCAGATAGCACTGCCGGGAGCTCTCAGGGCAGTGGCAAAACCAAAGGAAGGAAGTCAGGTTATCCTCCAAGAGAGGGAAATTGGTCACTGAGAGCCTTTGATTGTACAATTACTTGTGGGTTGGTTTAGATGTGAGTGTAGGGCCTGACAGCTGGCACCCATAGTGCCAGGATCAGCATTGCTGCTGTCTCCAGCTTTTATTGGCATCTGCCCCACAACAGGTGTTGTGCCTGGTACTCTCTGTGTGCCATGCACAACTTCATGAAATGGGCCTTTGTGGGAAGAGGCAGATAACGTAGGGGTGGCGAGCACAGATTCTAGAGCCAGTGGACTGGGTTCAGAGCTCAGTGCCTCTGTGGTGTGTATCCTCTGAGCAAATTATACCAACTCTCTTGCCTCAGTTTTCCCATCTTTAAACTGGAGATAATAAAATTTTGTGAGGTGCAATGAGTTATTGCATGTGAAGCACTCAGAGGAGTGCTTTTAATGTAATAAGTGCTCAGTTAATGTTAGCTCTCATTATTATTTGTGAAAAGCAGCTACAGTAAAATTACAACCAAGGCTTGAAAGCCAGCTTTCCAGTAATGTTGATCCGCACCCTTTGCTCAGAGTTTAGAGGTCCAGGTGTGAGCTTTCTGTGATATGGACGTAGAGTACACATTTTAAATGTGCTGGTGAAGCTAATGCCTCCATATGCAGAATTTCAGCTAACACTATAAAGCCTCCTTCTGCTTGCAGAGGGCTTTATGGTGGTTCTTTTAAAGCATTGTTTGCACCCTCATTCCATTTAGTTCTTACAATAACTAGGGAAGGTAAGCAGATCAGGGATTTGTATGCTTCTATCACAGCTGAAGTTTCAAGTCTTGCAGTCACTGATGACGGAGCTAAAAATAGAACCAAGGTCTTATTCTTACACACACACACACACACACACACACACACACACACACACTACTTCCCACCTATTAGTTCCCTAAATTCATCTTTATGCAGATCCAGCTGTTCTAAGCAGGCGAGTCTGGTAACCTCAATCATCAACCCCTTCAATTCAGAAATAATTATAAAATTAATAAAACCAGGATCAAGGGAGCTGGGAAATGCTTCTGGAGAGAGAAAAAAACCATCAAGACGTTCATAACAAAATGTAATCCTTCATTACGGAGCTTTGGTACACTGTAGAATTCTGCTTCTGCTGCACCTGGAGAAGGTCCCCCGGGGCGTGGCGATTTTATGGCTGCTGGCCTCTTGCAGGTTAGTTTGGCCACTGTTGCCCTGTTAGCTAGCTTAGCTGCAGGAAGGAAAGCAAGGGTTAAGCATTTCGCTTGTGTATCTAATCAGGATCTGTTTCGTGGAGATGTTTGACTTATCTACGATTTTCTCAATCCCCCTCCCACACCCCCCAAGAAATAATAAAGCAGCACTTCCAAACTAGCGCCTTGCAGAGGTTGATTGCATAGCATATCCGCCCATGCCCTCATAGGCAGGAGTAGCACCACACAGATGGTTTAATTATGAGAGGCAGACCTACAGTCCCTCGTGGGAGCCATCAGAAGGATCTGGGATTCCAGGAAAGTTGTGAAGGTATGCTCAGGAGGCAAGGGGGGAGACATCAGGGGATAATGTGTGCCTGCTTCTTGGTGTAGACTTCTGGCTCCACAGAGATGATCTCCAAGTTGTTCAGTGGTTAAAGGATGCCTCTAGGAAACTTTAAGCCAAGGAGAGAGTTAATTTTATATAATACACAAAGCAGGAAGAAATGTATCTTAAATTGTCATAGAATCAGTAGTATCCACAATTTGAAATCGTAAGAAAGCAATTGTGAATGGAAGTTATAGACTGAGATAAATATTAGGGTCTCAAACAGTGCCAGGAGAAATGTGTGCATGCAGTATTTGTAAATTTGACTTAAAAAAAAAAAAAAAAAAACTTATTTCGTCCAGGCCAGATCAATTTGCAAACAGCCCAGCTAGCGCATACGTACACATACACACACACACACATACACATACACACACACACACACACACACACACACACACGCACACACCCCTTTTACCTTTAATATAAAGGGGAACTTGAGCTAGTACTTATCAAAATATATAATTTACCCCTTTTTTAACCATTAATTTCTTAACAGCCTTGATGTGTTTTTTAAATTGTAGATTGTGGATTTTTTTTCGCTGTTTGAAATCTAAGAGAGAGTTGCCTTTCTTTGTATTCTTGGAGCCAAGTAGAAAGTGAACCCATGACTAGAAAGATAATATCAAGTAGGATATTGTAAACATATCTGAGGGAGATAAGGTGGGGAGGCAGACAAACAGACCATTGGGGTAAAGTGGGGGAGGCAGGAATGGGGTTAATAAGAGACCTACGATGAAGCAGTTTTTAAACCCACTCCTTTCAAGTCCTTTAGCTCAAGCTGCAGCCAAATATTTGCATGAAAAGCTGGCGAAGGATTCCAGCTTCCTGGTTCATGACATTATAGCATGGATCACTTTCAAAATTAACACCACCTCCTGTTTCAGCCGTGGGGCTGGCGGAGTTCTCCCAGTGGCTCTGTGTGGGGGAGTAAGCACACCCTGGAACCCGAGAGAGAGGTGCGGTGAATCACAGAGCAACGCTGGTCCCTTTAAACGTTAAAGCCAGCACCTGAAACCTAAAGAAATAATAATAACAAATCCTAAATTACTCGGTTAATAAAATTATCAATTCAACTAGAAGACACGGGCTGCCTTGCTTTCAATAATTAAAAGGAACAATCTCATTAAACTTGAAGTATTTATAATATAATAGTGAAAAAAGCAACTTGTATCAAAATGAGTAAAAGTCATACAAAGAGTTGAAATATTTCCTGACCACTAACTAGAATATAGATAGGCTCCAACTCAATAACTACAGCTTTAAGAAAAAAAATATTTTATATCATTTTTAGTATTTCATAGCTGGTAAGATGATGTGAATATTTTTGAACTATCCAGGATTAATAAAGTTAGACATTGTGTCCTTTGGAGAAAACAAATCCCTAAGGCTAAGGAGCCAGATATTATATATGAACATTTTGAAGGAAATGATTGACTAAATCATAAAAGTTGGGATTAAATTAATTTCAGATTGAATGGTTTAATTGAAAGGCTTTTTACTGAGTTTTCTTGAATTGTTACATTTCTTGTATATCAAAATCATATAAATTAAATTTTGATCCAAATGAATAGCCTTTACATTTTAAGTGGGAGAATCTGATATTAGAAAAAATTCCCAAGCAAACCTAAAAATTAAAACTAATGTATATATTGGTTGTTTTTTAACTTTTTTAGAAGAAAGAATCTAGCTTACCTTAGAGCAGAATGCACATAGTTCACATCAAAATGCCTTAGCTTTCCCTGGGTAGACCTCTCATTGCGCTTTGCTTTATGGTTGTATCCTTGCTTTGGCAGCTGCCCGGAGGAAACAGTGTCCACCTTTCAGATCCGGTCACACCACCTTCTGCAGGTCAGTACAGCAGCATTACAATTCCCTCAAACACGCTTTCAAAAGTGAATTCTGTTAAGTCTTTCAATGCTTGATTCGGGGGTTAAGATAGGCACCACCATTTAATTGCAATCCAACCAATCAGGAGGTGAAAAAGGCATAGTGACTCCAGATGGAAGCCCCGCAAGCAAACAACTGCAAATGTTTTCTTCTTTCTGAACTGTCTCTTCTCTCCTGCCTACTTTGGCCTGAGTTTGTTCTTCTCATTCATTCCAGTTCCCCATCTCCAAGTAACTGAGCTAGGTGAAAAGATCAGAATTGTTTTTAGAAAGCTGTCTTTTGTCTCCTGCCGTTCGATGGACCACAGAACACTCTGAGGTCCTAGAATCTAGCCGACAGGGGTTTCCCTCCCCTTCTGTCTTCCCAGAGAGCAGTTCAAACAGCTGATAGTTTTCTCAGCCCAATACGAATAACTCTATTATATAAACACTCCTACCTACGCCACTCATCGGCTAAGAGTTCATATACAAGGAAACCTGCTTATGGTAGCTCACCACTGAATTTGCCACTTTCACTTAACCTCAAAGGAACCTTAACATTTCAAAGAATCCCTCTGATGGACACACTCTAAACCTCTCTTCTTTGAGCTTTTTTAGATTAATAACCACAAATTGGGCCTATTAATCCTAAAATGGAAAAAGGAGTCACGGTTTCAGAATTATTCTTGTTTGGCATTTAATGCCTTATTTTAATTCCATTGTCATGTTAACGCTAAGAAAATATTTTGCTTTGTGTAATTTAGAGCAAGTAATGCTAATTTGTCCTGTGTGTTTCTGGTTTCTGATTTTATAACTTGCTTGGTATTTACAATGCTCCTTGGAATTTAAGTAACTTAGTAAGTGTAAATTTAGGAATGTATTAACCCTAAATCAAGAGAATTATTTCCCATGACACCAGAAGTTTTCCCAACAACTCCGGCTGTTTCAGAGACGTGTGCTTGAACTGCAGGTAGAGGCTAAATGTGGATGCTTTTATGGTCCAAGAAAGTGCAGGTGTGAGCCATGACTCTCTGTGGCAGTTAGATACAGGTTGGATCACCATCCTTTTATTTTAGCACTAGCCACATTCACAGCCAATGTCCATATTATTAACCAGATTCATTTCAATGAAACTTGAATTAGCTAAGGCAACTAAAAAGCCAAATTGCCTGACTGTTCACCTTTCTGGAACTTCATAAGCCCCCTTTTCCCCTAAGCATAGCAAATAGTCAAACGTAGACTAGAACTTCATTCAAATTCATGACTACAAACTTTAAAATAGAAAAAATCTTTTTTTTTCTTTCTCCGCTAGTGTATTTTGAACCTGAATCAGTTTCTTCCACACCTAATTATTTTCAACCACGAGAATTTTCTAGTTGTGTTTCTTGTGAAGAAAACCCAAGCTTCCTCGACCAGATCTTGGATTCCTACCTTCAGACAGAGACTCATCTGGACCCTTTGCTCAATTCCACGCAAAGTACTCCACACTGCTTCCCGGACAGCTTCCAGGCTGCCCCTTTCTGCTACAACCAGAGCCTGGTAATTAGCTCAGTTCTTAGAAAAACCTGTTTATTGCTTATTATATGATTATAAAGCTTTGTAAGGATGTTTGCATTGTCTCCTGAGAAAGCATACAAACACTGTCAACAAAGAAAGCATCTAGGGAGCAAGCAAAGAACCATCCACGATTCATTGGAAGTAGAAAAAACCATGCATTTCCCTAGCTACTGAGGGGCAAAATACATGTAATGTTTTTAAACTCTACAATGATGACATCTCCAAATTGGAAATCATTGATTTAAAAAATGGCCCTTGGATTTGGGGGTTCTTGAAAATGGAATTAAGGCTACCTCTACATAATACCAAACTGTCATTTTGCTAAGTGTGTTTTATTTTGACATTGAATTGACTCTACTAATTGGTTCTTTTGGTCTGGTTTTGGTACAAGAACCATTTAAGTCTGAGGTGGTTAGGAAAAATGAAGCTCTCATATTTGAAAAATTTGGATGGTCTATTCTGGATGAACCTCAAACATTTAAAAACAGATAATTTAAAATGCAATAAGGTTTACTTTAGTAGGATACCACTTGTTTTAGAAGTTGCGTAGATACTCATAGATTTTTTTTAAACCTTATAAAGTACCATCTTTTGATGTAAATCATTTTTTATTTCATTTTGTCAAATGTCTGTGTCGATATCAGACTACATTTTAAGGGGACAGGAAATTAACTCCACAGAATATGCATGCAGGGCCCCCAGTCACCCAGTTCCCGCCTAGCTTCCAACTTAGGCTTTCTCAGTAACAGCTTCAGACCTGCTTAAGAGGAAAGTACCTTTCTCATCAAGGGACAAAACTTTAGTGAATATAAGAGTTGTTTCACGTCTTGGAGTCTCCCAGATACTGGATTATAGAAGGCCCCGGTTCTACCTGAGCGTGCTCACAGCCAGGGGTGTGGAGCGCCATCCACGGTGCCACCTGCAGCTTACATTGTGCCCAGAGCTTAGATTGTGGCCCACAGCAGGGCTTGATGAGCAGGTGACTCGAAGCACAATGGGATTATGCGGCTTAAGGGCAAAACATCCTCTAAAGTATGGTTACAACAAAGGGAGCCAGTGAAGCAAGGCAATTTATTGTTGGGAAAGAAGTAGGTAAATATAGAATGTGGTGTCATGAAATCACGCAATCAGCTAATAAAATTACTTCTACAGACTTGGGTTGGGCTGGGTGTTTTGTTTCTTTACCCCTAATGTTCTTACCCTGAGTTATTAAATCCACTCTTTTCAGTCCTTTTAATCCTGTCTAAGTTATCAAATTCTTTGTTCCTTGGTTTTTATTTTCCCAGACCCCGGGGTCACCTTCAGATTCCACTCTCTCTGGCTCCTTAGACTTCGGTTACTCGCCAGCTCATCTGCCTTCCTATACACCGGAGAATTACAATTCCGCCCCTTCTCTGGACACCAGAAACTGTGGCTATCCCTCGGAAGACTACTCCTACCCTCACTTGCCCTCCCACACCCAATACGACTGCTTCTTCCCAGCCTCAACCTCAGGCTGCTACTGTGTGTCCTGCGAGGCTGAGCACTTGGCCACCATCAGAGCCTCTGAGTACTTTTCCTGTCCCGGCACAGACTGTGTAACCCTGGATCCCTCAGCAGCAGCCGGCAGTGATTTCTACATGCAGGAAACAAACTGTGACATCTGCTACAGCTCATAGAGTTTCATTCACCTAGAACCTGGCATGCATATGTCTGTTTTGCTGCCGCGCCAAATGAGAATTTGCAATAGGCAACCTGTTAACAAAACATCGCAGGTGCAGTTTACAGGTCACTATTTTGCATTTTCCAGCGCTGACTTAGGCATTAAGATGAAGTCCTCAGACCCAGACACAGCACCACTCCTATTCTGTATGCTTCCAGTGAAAAGTTTTGTAGGGAACATTTAACGGTTTTACTTTTCTGTATCATGAACAAAGCCTAATTTTTTTTTTTTACTAATAAATAATTTTTGTATTATTAAATGTTGGCTTATTTTTTTATTCGAATAATAGTTACCATTGGTTTGAATAATATCACTTCTGAGAATCACTAATTACTCTTCAATAGTCTAATCTTACTTACTCGTGAATTTAAAATGATTTAAATGTGGTAAGGTGCCTTGGTTTCACCCATGGGGATAAGGAGTAGACACAGCTGTGATGGTAGAAAAGTGAAAATCCAAGGACATACATACATCAGAGAAAGACATTTATGAATCACTTGATTTTTGTATGTAACATTAGGTAATGAAATATTAATATGATCAAAAAGCACAGCAATATTAACCTGAAGATAATTCTTTTTATTTCCAAGGCATTGTTTTGTAAACTTTCTGGCAAATATTTTTTTAAATATATTTTTATTGATTTCAGAGAATAAGGGAGAGGGAGAGAGAAATGGAAACATCAATGATGAGAGAAAATCATTGATTGGCTGCCTCCTGCACTCCTCATACTGGGGATCAAGTCTGAAACCCTGGCTTGTGCCCTTGATGGGAATCAAACCTGGGACCCTTTAGTCCACAGGCTGATGCTCTATCCACAGAGCCAAACCAGGTAGACAAATATTTGATCTTCTTTCTCCTGACGGCTGCCTTGCAGTTGATGAATCACAAAGTTTAGAATGCATTGTTTCCTTATATTTTTGAATTTCTGCTTCAGGTCCTTAAATACGCATCACTCATCTTTACAGATTGACTTGTAGGATTGGCCATGTTGTTTACAACTGAATTTCAGAATTCACTTCCTCTGAATAATCTATTTGAACAAGCCCAACTGTCTTTCAAGGTGAGGAGAGTTACTTAAGCTGCCTTTGCTAGACCCCATTGTTAAATCCTATTGGCGCTGGATTAGATCCTCCCTGCATTGAAGTCTGAGAAGCGTTTTCTGGGTCCCCAGGTTTAGCACAGTGACAGCAATGCTGGTACCACTGACACAGGCCACAGCTGCCACTTTCTGAGCCCTTTTTTGTGGGGCCAGAATTGCATAGGGTTTTCTCACATATCACCTCATTTAATTTTCACAACATTGGTAGCCAAATGAGGCTCAGAGTGTTTAAGTCACCTGCCCAAGATCACCCAGCCAATAAGCACTTGGGTCTGAAGGACATTAAAGACATGCCTCACCTTGGCCGGTGTGTCTCAGTGGTTAGGAGCATCTGTCCATGCACTGAAGGATCAATGGTTCAATTCCTGGTCAAGGGCACATACCTGGTTGGGGCATGCTGGAGGCAACTGATCAATGTGTATTTTTCACATTGATATTTCTCTCTCTCTCTCTCTCTCTCTCTCTCTCTCTCTCTCTCTTTTTTGCCCTCCCTCTCTCCCTTCCACTGTCTCTGAAAAGCAATAGAAAAAATATTCTCAGGTGAGTATTAATAAAACAAACAAAAAAACACATGCTTCTTACTCACTCTCCCTCATTCTCTGGTGTTGGTGAAAAGTTTGCTCCACCATTTGTGAAAGACTGTTCAGGAACCCATGGAATCATCCCCCATTAAACCCCAACTACCTCACACGGAGAAGTGTACCCCATCCAACTAGTCAAAGCTCCCCAGAAGGGCTGGCCTGTCCACAGGATCCAAAGATGTCTTGTGCAAGAGCTTTCAGAGGCCCCCGCTTTGGGGACTCAGGGGAAGGAGCTGACCAGCTGCCACCTCAGTGAGCCTCTTTCTCTCAGAGGCAGTTACGCTTTCAAAATGACACTCTGATGGCCCTCTCCCTCAAGCCTCTGCTAAGGCTTGGGCAAACGGCACAGGTTGCAACCTGCCTCATGGGGTAAATGTGCCAGGGAAACAGAACAATTACTGCCTTTCTGAGAAGCCAACAAAGCTAAATATTTAATAGCTTCAAACTGAATTGAAACTGGCCTGTTGTCAACAAATATCTGTTCACACAGACCAAACCCTTCACACACCAGCATCCTGCCCCAAGGGGCAAAAAGCAGAGAACCAAAAGATATGCAGTGGTTCGCACCAAAAAAAAAAAAAAAATCCCTTTTTCTTGGCTATCATTTTTTATCTTTTTGATTCCCCACTTGTGTCCTCTGCCTTCTGAGTCGGTTAACCTTGCAGCCATCACAGAGAGCATGTCCACCTCCCCGTTCCTTGTTTTTGTTTTTGTTTTTTTATGTCCCTGACTGTTGGCCTAAATCCAATGTAGGAAAGGCTCACCGAGGAATGTGAGACAAGGACTCATATAGCTATGGTGAATCAACACTAATTGCCTCTCCACCTTAAATTGATCTTTAAGATCTTTCTTCAATTTAGACTAGCAGGTCACCTGGCACATGGTCAAGTGTGTGCTGCTGCCTGCCCAGTCTCCTAATCAGCACAGCTCACACGGAGCACCTTGGGACCCAGGTGGCGGCAGGTAGAACATCTGCATGCAGCCCTGGCACAGCCCAGAATGCCTCTCATCGGCGTATATCCGGGAAGTTGTATGAAATACAGGTGTGGTGCCTGTGCCTCAGAGTGAGAGAGCATGATTTGGGGCCCAGGCACCTGCATTTTCAAATGTACCTATGTGGATTCTGATACAGATTGTCCTCTGTCTACACCTGGAAAACACTGACATATTCAGCGTCTGAACTGTTTACATGTAAGACCTAGCAGCACAATAACAGGTTACAGGGACTGAGCTCTTTCTCTGGGCCAGGGCTGTGGGCCTTATCTCAGTTAAGGCTCAAACCACCATATGAGAGAGACTGCTTTTTAATCTCCTCATTTTTATTGATAATGAAACTGAAGTTTGGAGAGATAAAATAACTTGCCCAAGGTCACACAACCGATAAATCAGGGTAAGAACTTTCCAGTTCAGATTGTTTGATGCTACAAGAGCCTCGGTGAAGTTTTCATTCATTATACTTAAAGGAACTAGATCTTTTTGACTTAAAAAATCACATGTATATCTGTAGCCAGTTACGCATACCACAGATGCATTTAATAAGATTATTATGGAAGTTCAAATGGTTTTGTTATTCAGAGCCACTAGAGATTGATAAAAAAAAATATTGATTGTTTACCATGTGCAAGATTGATCAAATGCCTTCAAAATGCAGTCAAAGGCTTACAGGGGGATGTAATTGTTATTTGTTTTGTTTCTTTGTGTTGAATTCATTTGGGTGACATTGGTTCATAAAACTGTATTGGTTTCAGGTGAGGGGGACATAATTTTTAAAATTTAAGACTTAGAGAATTTCAGTTAGGATGGGTATGTAGTGAATTAAGATATTTAAATTAGGGATCCACCCTTGAAGCCTGAGAGAGATAAGATGGGACAAAGCCGAAGACAGCAAATATTTGGAAACAATTACCTTAGGCAATGGCCCAGAATAGTGGCATCTGGGCACCTGGCCTCAGCCTGCAGGTGGACACAAGAAACAAGGTACAGATAAACACAACTGAAATGGTGGAACTGCAGGAGGGAAGGTGAGGAGGGGGTGGAGGTAGGGTGCCACCTTTGATTTAAAAAAAAAATGTTTTATTTAGTCAAGGAAGATGAAGACTAAAAAGAATTAGAATCAGCCAAAACCGTTTTGGCTCAGTGGATAGAGCATTGGTCTATGGACTGAAAGGTCCCAGGTTTGATTCCATTCAAGGGCATATACATTGGTTGCAGGCACATTCTCGGTAGGGGCTGTGCATGAGGCAGCTGGTCAATGCTTCTCTCTCATCTATGTTTCTAGCTCTCTATCCCTCTCCCTTCCTCTCTGTAAAAAAATCAATAAAATATATTTTAAAAAATAATTAGAATCAAAGCTAATGAAATTAATAATATAACTTAAAATAAACATGATTTACCATCATTTATGTGTGTGTGTATAAGATATATATAAAAAAGTTCCTGGATATCTCTCTCTCTCTCTCTCTCTGAGAGAAATTCAATGTTCCTGTCCTGATAAAATATCAATTTAAAGACCTGATGATTATTGGAATTAAGGAAAGATTTAGTGTTGGATAGTGCAGAGAAAACAAGACTTGAATTCTAAAGACCTCTATTAGAAAGCTGAATGTGCTAAAGTAAGTGTGTTAATAAATACGTGGGCAACACAAAGAAAGGAGAGATTAATATCAGTTTAGGTTGAATGAGGACATGTTGTGATACACAAGGAATCACAGAAGGGTGATATAAAAATAGAGAGTGTTAGCAATGTCTTGTGTATAGAAAGTGCTCAGAATAAGTTTTTATTTCATTTATGATTTCAAAACTATGAAGGCCTTAAAAACAGAGAAATCCTTCATTTGCTTTCTATACACACACAATGTATTCCTCAGCTCCAGTAACTATCTTTCTCAAACTGTTCCATGACTTTCATGTTGGGAATACACTCAGCAGGTAAAAAGTTCCTGGATCTGTTAGCAGTGAAACAGCACCAGATTGTCACCCATGATTAGACCTCGATTCAGAAACCTTGGGGCTTGAGTTCTGGCTAAGAAAGAATTCAGAATCAAGACTCAAACTATAAGAGAAGGCTTATTTAGAAAGTTATCAGAACTGACTTTCTAAAGGTTTATTTAGAGTTAAAAGAAGTGATCCATGGAAGAAATGAGCTCAGGAAACAAGTTAGAGAGGTAAAAAGAAGGGCTTTTGGAGCTGAGGAGAAAGAGAGAGGTCAGGAAAATGCCCTGGGGGAAGAGGGTGGGGAAAGGCAGCAGCATTTTTGAGAGAGGAAAGCAAAAG